GTGTGCCTTTAATCCCAGCACTCGGGAGGCAGAGGAAGGAGGATCTCTGTAAGACTGAGGCCAGTCTGGTCTACATAGTGAGTACCAGGCCAACCGGGGCTACAGGGAGACCCAGTGGGGGGGTGGGGGGGGGGGGAGAAAAAGAAAATGTGGTACATATACTCACTGGACTTCTGACATAAAAAAGGAAATCCTGGTTTTGACAACAAGATGGATGGAACTGGAAGTCACTATATAAGTGAAATAATAAGAGGTATCACATGAGCTCACTCATGTGGAATCTAAGACATTGGTTTGGGGCAAACTGAGGAGAATGGTGGCTACCAGAGGCTGGGGTCAGGAGTGAGGAGAGAGATGAAAAGTAGCTACTGGGTACTAGGTTAATAGTTAGGAGTAAGAAGGTCTGACGGCACAGTATGAGGACTACAGATAACACACATGTACCTCAGCTATGGAAGAGGAAAAGTGGGGAGGGAAGGAAAAAGAAGAACCAGACAGGGAGGGGGAAGAACAGTAGGAATACCTTCCAGCAAGAGGGACTGTTATGAACTACATCTAAAGCACTCCAAGCGAAAACTAGACTAGGGATGCCCTTTCAGCAGAGCAGCTAACATTGCAAACTCTCGAGTTGTAGCCTATGCCACCCTTAACCCACATGTATCTGCTGCTGGCCTAAACAGCTTGAACTACTTTCTACAGATTCATCCTTTTCTTGGTGATGCATACATAGTCCACTAAAAATAGGTCAACTCTGCTGGGAAGATGGCTCAGTCAGTGATGTGCCAGCCAAACATGAGGACCTGAGAATGGGTCTCCAGCACCCCCAGAAAAGCTGGTGTGGTGATGTGTACCTGCAACTCAGAGCTGGGGGGTCAAGGCAGAGACAGCCAGACTTCCGAAGCTCACTGACCAGTCAGTCTAGCTGAAATGATGAGGTCAAGGTTTAGTGAGAGACTCTGTCTCAAAAGATAAGGTGGCTGGGAGCTGGAGAGATAGCTCAGCAGTTAAGAGCCACTGGCTGCTCTTGCAGAGACCTGGGTTCAGTTTCCAGCACCTACATGATGGCTAACAACCATCTTTAACTCCAGCTCCAGGGCATCCAACATTCTCTTATGACCTCCAAGGGCACTAATGACACAGATGCACTTACATGCATGCAGGCAATACACACATACACATAAAAATAATAAATAAAATATTTTTATTTTTTTAAATAATAAAATATTTCAAAAAATAATGTGACAAAGGATTGAGGAAGACACCTGAAGTCAACCTATGGCCTCCACATGCCTATATACCCTCACCCACACACACATCCATATGAACACATGCACACATACCACACACAAAAAAAGAACAAGTAAATAATAAAAATAGGTCACTCGTAGAAATCCAAAAGGATGTACAGACATTAATTACAACACAACTTGTAATAGCAAATACCTGGAGGACATAAAGATCCATCAATAAAACAATCACTAAAACTTGCTCAATCCAGGCAGTAGAATCCATCTGTGAACTAGAAAGAACAAGGCAGATCTACAAGTGTTGACACAGCAAGGTAATCACAGCACAGTGTAGAGTGACAGGGTCAGTGTTGCTTAGGTGCAACCCTTGGAAAACCTCATGCAGACACATCTTATTCCATGTATCACTCCACATATCACTCTGAATCTAGCTTTTCTTTTCCCAGGTATGTGTGCATGTATATATACACACACGCAAATTTTTACTAAAAATCAATTTCTTGACATAAGAAGTGCATCCAAGTGTTTTTCTCTGTATTTTTTTTTAAATATTTTATGTGTATGAGTGTACTATCTGCATGTAGGTAGTTGCACCATGTCATGCAATGCCCATGGAGGTCAGAAGAGGGCGTCAGGTCTCCTGGAACTGGAATTATGGATGGTTAGCCACTATGTGGGTGCTGGGAATCCAACCCTGGTCTTCTGCAAAAGTAGCCAGTACTCTTAACCACTGAGCCATCTCTCTAGCCCCATTCGATTTTTGTTTGTTTGTTTGTTTTTGAGAGAGGGTCTCCCTGTAGCCCCAGCTGGCCTGGAACTCACTATGCAGACCAGGCTGGCCTCCAATTCCCAAGGATCACCTGCCTCTGTCTCCCAAGTGATGGGATTAAAGGTTTGCACCACCAAACCCAGCTCAAGTGTCTCTTATCACCATAAAATACTTCTGTCAACCAAATTGTGTAGGTTAAATGTGAGTTCCCATGTTCCTACAACTACAAAAAAAGGATTAGTGCACTTGGACTGCAAACAAACTATTCTGTCATTACTAAAAATGACCTGAAATCAAACAGCTTAAAGATATGTCAGCACAGAAGTCTACTCTCGGGACATATTTGTCTTTGTCCACACATCACCTTCAAAGTCTGACCCTAACCCACTACCACCACAGAAAGCCTCTTCTGGTTTCTTTCCCCACAAGCAACTGCTCTGTTTTTCCTTCCTTAGAACCTTGAGAATTTCCAGGCCCTCCAGTTTCCCACCAAGAATCATTCTGGGAGCAGTTTCTTCAAAAACTCAGGTCCTTACTGCAGGGAATCACAGACAGTCAGGGTCACCCTCCTAGTCACTCCTTTATGATCCATTCACTAATTCAACATTAAAATATAAAAACAAATTCTGAATCCCAGAGCCTTAAAAACACAATGCTATGCTGGGCATGATGACACACACCTGCAGAACCATCACTCAGGACGTGGAGGCAGGAAGATCAGGAGTTTAAGATCATCCTTGGCTACACAGTGTGTTCAAGGCAGCCTTGGCTACGTGAGACCCTGTCTCAAAAAAAGTGGGGAGCTTAATAAGTAAAGGGGCTTGCCAAGGCTGAAGACCTATGATCCCCCAAAACAACATGGTGAAAGGAGCGAACCAACTGCTGCAAGCTGTCCTCTGACCTACACACATACACACACACACACACACACACACACACACCCATAGCACATATGCACATGTGCATGCACATACAAATATATATAATTTTTTAAATGCTTAAAGACCTCAAAAATATAATACCAAATAATCCAAATTCTTCAAAACAGTAACAAAGCACGAAAAAGGAAAGGAAAATAAAAGACACTGGGCTAACAAGATGGCGGTTGCCAAGGTTGACAACCCCAAGTTCCACCCCTGGGACCCCTGTGGTGGGAGAAGAGAACCGACTCTTACAAGTTGTCCTGTGAGTTCCACCTGACACTGTGGCAGCGTGTGCCACACACCACACACACAGCACTCACACACATAATAAAGATGTAAACAAATTTTTAAATGACATATTCTGATATCAATAGGGCTAGCAGTTCCAGAAAGATATCAATATGACTGACATGGTTTGAAATACATAAAAATACAGCTGACAATTCTGACACTGCTGAGGTTAAGGAAATATAAAGTGGTCCAATCACATAACAGTGGCCAACAATGGCTTGCAGGTTAAGCTCTTTAGAGTTGCAGTTTCTATAGCAGGTACATATACATTAGGTAATACTTTTTAAAGGGGCTTTAAAAATGATACAGGTTTATAGCACTCAGGAGGCAGAGGCAGGTAGATCTCTGTGAGTTCAAGGGCAGCCTGGTCTACACAGTGAGTACCAGCCAGCTGGGGCTACAGGGAGATCCTGTCTCAAGAAAAATAACATATATAGGTTAAGACCCCCACCACACAGACAAAGCAGACAAAGAGACACTGGCACTGATATCTGTGTCACAGTCTCTGAGGAAACCTTTTGCAACACTACTGGCATCTCAGAAAGGAGAAATAATACCTCCCCTGAGAAAACTCCCCCGGGTCCCCAAGCTGGGTTAATTGCTCACTTTTCCATATTCCCCTAACACTCTGCTTCCACTATTACTGCACTGCACACATTATTTCAACGCTGACTTTATTTACACGTCTCAATCTCCCTACTCAATTGCAAGCTCTTCTGGGACAAGGGGCTTAATGTATTGATTTCTGTGGTCTCATGGCAGTTCTGAAATAAAAGGAGTTAAGAGTTTCAATTTATCTGAAGATTTAATTAAGCACTTGTGGTCAAGGGCTATGGACCACTGGAGGTATCCATGGTGTGCTTTGAAGAAACTAGACCCTCATATGACTGAAAATTACCCCTAGCATTTACTCCCAACACCAGGGTTCCAATGTCACCATGACAACGAAGAGAGCAGGTACACAGCTATCCATACAGCGAGGAAATACACAAGGACCAGGCAATTAAGAGGCAAAGTGAGTGGCTGCACTGGAATGAGGGGGCCAGCACCATGGCTCTGCAGGTACCTCTGCCCTTGGAAATGCAGATGTTCTAAAGATGGAGGTGTGCATAAGAGTATCCACAGTCTCCTGGTACCTTCCCCATGTTCTTAGTATTCACTGAAACCATTCAATCTTTTCAAAAGATTTCCCCTTCTGCTTGTGGCTTTCAAAAACATAATTTATATACCAACTGGGCACTGAACACTTAGTCTTGAGGGGATCCCCCATGACTAAGTCAGTCTCTGCAGTCAAATGCTATAGCCACATAGACAGATATGACACATGGGATGCTTGCATCTTACAAAAGGATTCCTTGTTTGATGAGAACCCAGGAGAATAGCTATGGAATCACCTCCGGGACTTCCCATTCCACAAGGAAACAAGGAAGAACACAAGGCAACCCATGCCAGGAGGGAAAACAGCACAACCAAAGGCTGAGCTCAAGGCTCTCTGCCAAGCATGTCATTCAAATGACCAAACCCATAGAAAGCCACCTCATGCAGGAACGGAGGCCTCTTTGCTTTATTTGCGAGTGTCCTTCACATGTGGTGTTATGTGAAGAGCTAGTTACAACTTCTAATATGTGGAACCCCACAGAGTTAAGAAATATGAAAACTATGAGTCAGCTGAGCACTGATAACTCATCGTATCTTTTGGAGAAGCCACCCGGGGGAGAGCCCACATGCTGGATTCGGTTAGTGCTGGAAGGCGGCCTTCCATCTGCTCACCACGTGTGTTGGTAGCCATGTCAGCCACTTTCTGAAAGGCGTCCAAAAAGGCAGCTGCTGCTACTACTGTTGTCCTGAAATACAAACAGATAGCAAACGCATGAGGAATGTCTCACACTGGCAAATGCATTGCAGCTCCTGGGCTAAAACCTCTGCTAGAGTAAATGGAACCTTCCAGAGGAACCATCCAGCAGTAGATGGGTAATCATTGGCACGATGGCCCCATTTTTCCCCTAGCACTCTACCCCAATAGTGGCCCAACTATATAAATTGACTACCAGGCAAAATTCTGCAAGAAAGAGAAGGCAGATGTTTCTACCCAGAAGAAGAAAAGAAAAAACATACATGAGGTAGAGGAGAGAGCATCTCTCTTTTTTTTTTTTTTTTTTTGAGACAGGGTCTCCCTGGGGCCCCAGCTGGTCTGGAACTCACTATGTAGACAGACCAGGCTGGCCCTGAATTCAGAGATCCACCTGCCTCTGCCTCCTGGGTGCTATTAAAGGCACACGCCACCATGCCCAGCCTGAGAGAGCAAAGCTTAAGAGAGCAGAGTTCAACAATTTATTGCAAAGAAAGGAAAACTGAGGCTACAAATCTGAACATATTTTAGAGATCATTAGTTCATACCAGAGCTAGGACCAATGTCCCAGAATTATGACCCAAGGCCTAGCTCAACCTATAGCAAGACAAGTCCCAACTACCATGAAACTGAAATACTGCTTTGTTCAGCCTTAGGATGCTCTTTCAACCGCATCTTCTGAATTCCTAAAAGCTGACAATCAGGAAAAGGTAGTATACGCATTTCATGTCCTACAAATTTTTCTGGATTCTTACCATTCCCTTGAGTGCTATCAGATGCCTTGGACACTGAGGCCCTCAACATCATGAAATAAAGAGTAACCAGCATTCCAGGCCACTCTGTGCCAAGTCAACAAGGCCCCCATCGTGCAAGGACTTTAAACTGAACTCAGAGCCTGATGTTAATCTTCAAGTGTTTTCCCTATGTCTCTAGTCTCTACTGAGCATGCCTAAGAAGGCAAAATCACTAAAAGAAGAGTAAGGACCCAAAAACAGAGTTCAAAATGGAGAAAAAAGAAATACATTGTTCATCTTAAACATAGCAATGGTAGCTATGAAACAAAGGATGCTGGAAGGTGCCAGAATGGCCCCTTGGAAGCACCAAAATGAGACCAGATAGTTTCCAGTAGAGCAAGAAAATATTTTGCTCAAATTTTAAATAGACACACACACACTTCAAAGCACATTTTTTAAAGTGTTGACATCAATTACAAACACTGAAAAAGTTATCTTTACCAAACATCCTGGGACTTATAAATAGCTCATTCTGATTTATGATTAATATCGGACACGATGGCTTGATTTATTCTCATTCAACTCAATGGCAATCAACCACATGTCTGAACAGGCTGCAGACATGCCTGTCCATTATAGTCACTGGGGCTCTACTACAAATCAGAATGCTAGTCAATTTTGAGGAATTAATAGCTTTTAAATGACAGTCACACTGTACTTTCTGACAAAGTCACAAAGCATCTTGGCCTTCTCTGTGAGCAGAGAAAATGTGAAACCACCAAGAGCTAAGGGAAGGATTCAGCTTTAAATGCACCAATACACGTGCTGCTTCTGCAGTGTTAAGTTTATCCTTTCCCAGCACACAAAATTAAACTCTTAGACAGGTGTTGTAGTTTGATAAAGTGAGAAAGAAATGGTCTCTGACCTCAGAAGACCTAAATGTGAGTGGGTAAGAGAAAGAATGTATGTGTTGTCAGTTGAAAGAAGACCACTCTGAGTTTTACTGTGTTCAAGACAGGCAGTGGGCTTATTACTTCAAGCGTGTCTTCACCAGCAAAAGGGAAAGAACCATTTTTCCTGGTTAGTGCTGAAAGGTCACCAGACAAGTAGAGACTAAACAAGAAAAAGAAATGATTTAAATGTTTTGTGTGTTTTGTTTTTGTCTTTTTGAAAGAGGGTCTCCCTGTAGCCCCAGCTGGCCTGGAACTAGCTATGGAGATCAGGCTGGCTTCGATCTCACAGAGATCCACCTGCCTCTGCCCCCTGAGTGCTGGCATTAAAGGTGTACACCACCATACCTGGCCGTTGTAAATGTTTTAATTCTGGTTGAAGTGAATGAGAGCAGTTGCTGAGACAGGGCTGGGAAGTCAAGGTAGCTACTTAAGGCGAGGCTGGTGAGGGCTTCGAATAGAGACCTAGACCTGACCCAGCAAGGTCTTAAGCAGGGAAATGGTCAGGGATTAGGCACCTGGAGAAGGTACATATTCCAGACTGCAATGTCCACCTAGGGTCACATATAAGACTGGAAATAACCCCCACAACCGAGACTAAAGGAAACCCATGCACTCCTCCCCAGTTCTTCTAAGCCACAGGGGAGCTATGAGTCTCCAGTCTAGTGGCAACAGCTCTGGTATGTACTGGCAGTCTCAAGAATTGACCTCATATCACCCTCCCTCATCTGTCTCTGTCATCCCTGTGGCTCTTTTTCCTAGAGCATCCCTACCTACCTGCTCTGCCAAACCTACATCTGTCCAAACCAACCAGTGCAAACTCCAAATTTCATGAGCAATGATTATCAAAATAATTGCTTTTTCAAACATCCCATACTTCAGAGTGCCCACTGAGTGCAGTAGTATCTCTTCCCACACTGATTTTTAAAAGGATGGAGCTGCAGCAAGATGTTTTTTTCTTAACACAGCAAATGGTATAATAGAAACAGGCACAACAGGTAATAACAGGTTCTTAGAGAAGATCAGCAGCAGACCTTGTTTAAGCAGCCTTTGGGGGGCATAACTTACATACCATAAAATTTACCCCTTTGTAAGTGCACAACTCAGTGACTTATAGTAAATGGAGATTGTGCAATCATTGCCATAATTCACCTTCAAAACATTTCTACTATTCCAGAAAGACCCCTCTTACCCTTCTGTGACCAACCTCCTTTCCCACCCCTGACTCCAGGCAACCACTCCTATACCTGTCTCTATAGACAGACTTTTTCTAGACACTTCCTGTAAATGGAATTATACACCAGTCAAACCTGGGATTTAAACTCTTTATGTGAAAGGAAATGCAGGTGAAGGGGAAAGAACTTGGACTCTGGAGCCAGACTGCCCATGTTTAAATCTCTGGTCTGTCACTTACTGGTGGTATGTCGATGGGTAGGTTATTTAGCTTATCTCTGCCTCCGTTTCCTCATCAGTAAAACCAGGCCAATAACTGAACTTAACTTGTGGGGTTGAGAATTCAACAAGTTCACATATGCCTGGCACAAGGTGGGTGTTGTCATGTAAACATAATCCATTATTACTTTATACAATCAACTCTGAAGATGCAGAGTAGAAATTAGTCCAATTTTATATATGGGAATCAGGGGCCAGGATCAGTGGCTAATCATCTGATAATGCTCTAATCAGAACCTACTACATACATTCCTTTCTGTGACATTTCCAAAATTAACTGCAATCTGTGTGCTGCTGCACCTCCCTCCATTCCTGTCTAAGAATGTTGCTTTTTCCTGAAGAACACATGCTTTTACTTACCGCAGCTGGGACTGCAGCTTTCCGGCTTTATTTATAAAATCTTCCCACACTGGATAGCTCCCCTACAACAGAACAAAACCATCAGTAAATCATACTATAAGGAGCAGAACACCCAATTCCCATCTATAGGTGCTGTCTTCCTTGTAAGTCTATGTATGATACATGCAGCACATACAGATGATATATGCAGACATTGGCTTGGGAACAGGTTTAGAATGTACTCAGTCCCTGTAATCTTGCCAATACAACAGACACTGACAGGAAGTGGCTTGGCAGACTCTAACACATATACCTTGAAGTCAGTACATGGTGGGTTCAAATTTAAGTACAGAGCATTCAAGGCTCTCTCCTGGGTCACCTGTGCTCACATGTAACATGGCTGTCCTCACCTTTGTCCCACATAGTAGGAGACACCAGGTGACTGGGGCTCCTCCTTAGGACAAGTGGCTATCGGGAAGCAGTATCAGACTATCAGAATCTCAAGGCTGGAAAGTAACCACCCAGCTGATGTTTAACCACAACACCTATGTACACTATGGCAACAGGTGGTTCCCTGGCAAACTTCAGCCACCAAGGAACTCATCCCTCTCCCTGGGTGGCCCATGTCAGTCACCTGTCCTTCACATTCATGAAGCTCTAGTTTTAACCTTCCAGAAGCCCTTAGAATCAAGACCAATAATTTTTCTTCCATACTGAATTCTGTTCAAAGCCCAAATCCACTTCTCCAAGGGACCCTGCTGCATTTGCACATCCCCACCCTGTCTTAGAGACAGCACAGTGAGTCTCTTTCCTCCTTATGAGCACAGTACTCAGCCACAAAGGCAAATGCACAGGTGCAGTTCTGATCAGAGCAAACCGGCATGCAGTCATTGAATGTACACTGAGATCAAGCAGCAATCCACCAAGAGTGATGCAAAACAAACCCAGAAAAGGTAAAACATGACTAGGGATGTGCTGTTTGGCACTGAATCATTTAAATACATAACTAGGACCAAATCCCTGGGGGCCACGGCCACAAACAAGAATACAAATGTGAGGCACCTTGATAAGGCAAAAATAGTATTACGTCACCTCTTGTGTTTGTTGCTAAGGGGAAAAAGGGAAAACTAGAATAAGACTAATAATTGCATTTTCCTTTTTTGTTGTTGTAGGTCTTTTTGAGACTGGGTCTCCGTATAGCCCCAACTGGCCTAGAACTTACTATGTAGACCAGGCTGGCCTTCTAATGGTTTTCATTGCCCTTTCTCCTGCTCTTACTGCAGTCTTTCAACCTTGGCACTGCTGACAATCTGGGCCACATGGACCTCTGCTGTGGGGCTGTCTCATACACTATAGGATGGTGAGCAGCATCTCCGACCTCTGTCCACTACATAGATACCAGAAGCTTTCAATGCCTTGTCATGACAAGTGAAATTATATTTAGACACTGCCAGATGTCTCGGGGGGTGGGGGGTCACCCCTGGTTAAGAACCAGTGTCTTAAGGGAACACCTAAAAACCTATTTCTTTTCGTAAAGAAATAGTTGTCTGAAGTCCAGCCATTTGCTCAGTATTAGTTCTTCAATCATTTTCTTCTAGTCATTGAAAGGAATATGCTTTTATTTTGCAAATAGTATGTATGAGTTAATACCTTTTTAAGATACCTACTTATATATTTCTCTAGCCATCAATTCTGTCTGAAAATGTGAACAGAAGTAGCTACAAAGCTGTCTTATTAAAATGAGTTACTTCTGGGAGCTAAGATTTAGATCAATATATTGCTTTCTTCTTTGTACTTTCCTCTATGGCCTGTTGTTTTGTTTTGCTTTTATAAGGGTCATGTATTATTTTAATGAAAATAATAAAGTCATTACATTAAAAAATTTAAAACCAAATTAGAGGTTCTGGCAACAGCTGCACCATGAATTTCCAACCCACCCAAGCTGTACAGTTTGTTTCACTCACTCTGCTAGCTCACATCCAGCCATTCCGCAGAGCTGCATCTGGGACCCACTTGGCCCAAGCACAGGCCTCCTCTACTGGGCCATTTGCTCCCATCAGATACTGAGCTGCACTGGAGTAAGGATCCTACTGGAGTGGCTCTTGGTAGAGGTCCTTGGCAATTACATCTGAGTTACTCATGTCAGCCAACACCCAGACCTGGTTCTTGTCACCACATGGCCCGCATCCTGTGTTTGAGCTCTAGGGGTCTCTTCAACCCAGCAACAGAACTAAATATTAACAAATGAGCCTCCTGTAGTGTGCACAATTATAATCCCAGCACTTGGGAGGTAGAGGAAGGAGCAGCTAGCTGGTGCTCAGGGTCAGCCCTGGCTACAAAAGATGCTGTCTCAAAGGGGAGGGGTGCTGGGGAGATAGCTCAGTCAGCTTGGGGCTGGAGAGATGGTTTAGTGGTTAAGAGCACTGGCTTCTCTTGCAGAAGACCCAGTTTTGGTTCCTAGCACTCACATGGAAGCTAACAACCATCAATAACTCCAGTTCCAGGGGATCCAACACCTGGGCATAATGGCCTCCGTGAGCATTACAAGCATGGATTACACTTGCATACATGAAAAAATTTGTACACATAAAAACAAATAAATAAAAATTTAAGCAAAAAAAATGTTGGACATGGTGGCATATGTTTGTAATACTAACACTGGAGAGGCAGAAAGAGGGGGAATCCCCAGGGCTTCCTGGCCAGGCACTCTAGCCTAACTAATGAGTTCCCAGGCAATGAGAGGTCCTGTTCAAGGAGGTACACAGCGTTCCTAAAGATGAGACGAAGGATGTCCTCTGGTTTCCACTCATTCATGCACATCTATGCATGCGCACCTGCACATACTTTTTAAAAAATATTTTATTTATTATTTTTATGTGTATGAGTGTTATGCTTGCATGTAAGTAAGTGCACCCATGTCCTACAATGCCCAAGGAGGACAGAAGGGGCTGTCAGATCCCCTTGAACTGGAGTTACGGACAGTTGTTAGCTGCCGTGTGGGTGCTGGGATTCAAACCCGGGCCTTCTTCAAGAACAGTCAGTGTTCTTAACCGCTGAGCTATCTCTCCAGCACCCTGCACATACATTTTTAAAAGATGAAACCTTGAGAGAACTCAGGCCACCATTGCAAACCCATCGAGACACCATAAAGATTCCATTTTGACCCCAATGTATTTACCATTTCCTTATCAAGTCTAGAAATTAATGCCCTTTCCTCCATCTACATCAGGGAAACTAAAGAGTTCAGGGCAACTCAGAGTCCTCTGGCTGGCCTCTAGAGATCTTTCCAGACAGACAGCAGTTGCCTGTAAAAGGACTAAGAGTCCAGGTTCATCACTGTCTTGCCTAGCCTCCCCTCTTTCTCATCCATAGGACCTGATAAGCTACTTTTGGAGAAGCCCAAGGCCATTCAGAAACAAGTCAGCCTACTTCTACCTGGAGGCACCATTGTCATCTACATCTAGTAGGGAGAAGGACCTGAGAAACAGGCCTTCCTCACCCAAGCACCAGCTGCTCCTACCCAGAAAGCCCAGTGAGCTGCCCAAGATTGACCAAGTTCAGGCAGGTGCGGCATGGTAATGCATGCCTATAACCCCAGAAGATAGAGACAAGGAGGTTCAAGTTCAAGGCCAGCCTCGACTACACTGTGAGTTCGAGGTCAGCCTCAGCTATATGAGATGCTGTGTCAAAAACAAAACAAGATGAAGCAAACTCAAGTGACAGTACGCCGGATTGGCCAGAGCCCTGGGCACAGTTCCAGCCACAGCCCAGCCAGAAATTTACTGGACTGGACTCTTTAGGGCCTACTTCCCTATAATAATAATAATTAAAACAATTCCATCACATTGCTGTCTTTTGGCTAAGATCAGGTGTAAAGCTATGCCACCAGCCTTATGAGCAATACTGTTTACTAAGCACTGAAAGACTGGAGGCGAAGAATAAGGAAAAGAAACCTGGAATCTCTTAGATTGACTCTCGGTTCTCCCATTTGCTGTGTGACATCAGGCAAGTCATTCAACCTCTGCATGAGGACAGCACTGATTCACAAGGTTGGTGTAAGAAATAGATGAGGTCACAGAGATGTTGAGGAGCCATCTGGACTCCTGTGTTACTGAAGCACTATTCACAATGGCTAAGTGTTCATCAGTTGACAAATGGCTATACAAAATATGGTGTATGTGCACCATGGAATACTGTTCATCCATAAAAAGAACAAAATCCTGTCACCACAACAACACAGATGACGCTAGGGAACATTGTATTGACTGAAATAAACCAGACACTGAAAGACAGACCTCACATATTCTTACTCATGTGAAACCTAAAATACGTGACCCAGAGGTGGGGGTAGGAGAAAAGGGATGAAGTGTTGGCCAAGGACATTTATTCATAGTTATATAGGAAGGAAATAGACAAATACAGGGACAGAAGGCAGTTAAGTGATTTCCTGGGGATGAGAGGAAAGGAAACCTGGTTGCACTGTGGGAGAAATTGGGAAAGACTAATGCTAAAGGTTATGAAGTCTCTGTCTTGGTACGGTGAGAGTTGTCCAACTCTGAGAACATACTAAAAACTATGTGCTTTCAGTGGGCCAATTGTATGATACACACATCTCAGCAAAGCTGTAGAAGTAACACCTAAATGACTTCAGAGCAGTGGCTAGCACACAGAAAGGCATACTGGATGCAATGGTCCCTGGCATTTGCAGGCCTGGGGGATCGCCTCCAGATGCTCACTGGGAACCACGCTGCAAACCAGCCACTCAGGTGGTGATCCCTCATTCCCAGTCCTGGGTGCAGAACCACCCATGGTGGGAGGCAATCTGCAGCTCAAGATGCATTAACCACACTTGACAAGAACAGAGCAAGCATCTGGGTTTACAGTGGCTTATCTGCCACTCCTAGGCAAATGGCAAGGTGAAGTACTCACCCCAACCCCAGATCAATGTGCCCTGGAACTGCAATAGCTCAAACCAGTTTACAAAACACCTCATCTGGGCTGGAAATAACAGCTCAGTGGTACAGCATTCGCCTAGCACGTATGGGGCTCTGGGTTCAATTCCCAGCACCACCAAAAAATATCT